AATTGGTGTATTATCATAAAGATCAGATCTTTCAGATATTTTCAAACTATTAGACAAAATCTCTTCGGCGACAAAGCTCCTTGCCAATGAAGTGGCAACGGGTTTTTCTTTTGTCAGTACTTTTAATGGCGATTTACTTATAAATACTAGAAGTGCAACACGCAGATTTTGTTTTATTGTCTTGTGCTTCTTTCCAGTTCCACCAAAAAATTTCCATGACCCCGATAAAGTTCGGCAAAATCCAGCATAGCTCTTGGATGTGTGTAGAGTTGAGTCCACTTCATTGACAAACCCAGTCAGCATGTACTCTTTCCCATACAAAGTAATGGTTTCAGGTATATCATGTAAATTGCAACGAGAATTTGAAAGATTTTCGATATTGATTGCCAGACAATATGCAATTTTTATACCTTCAATTTTCTGACAATCTGAGCACAGCTGAGTGGGTTGATTTAGAGTTGCAATAATTTCATCTTGAAAATGACTGGTCAGTCCATTTTCAAGAGAAATTATTCGAAAAACACAACATGATAAGGAATCTGAGATTAACTTTCCTACAAGTGTACTCAGATTACTTTCAATTTTAATTGTAGTGTTTTTAACTGTACCTACTTTTAGTAACAGTTCAACTCTTTTTTTGTAGTAGTTTTTGAGATCTCCTTGTTCATGGCATTCTGCTATAAGTTTGATAAAAGTGTCACTTAACTTTTCGAAGGGCGCTCGAAAAGAATAGAAATTCACATATGTCATCAAAAATAGCTCTGCAACTGCATCCAAAGCACTGGTATTTTCGAAAACATAAAATAGTTTTTCAAATTTGACAGTTCCTGTAATATTCCCATTAATAATTTCCTTATGTTTGAAATTTCGTGTTTGTGCTGGATTTCGAAAATAAATGTCAGCTTGCGGGAAATTCGATAAAAATTTGGTGTCCTTTTTTTTTTATATTATTTATCGAAGATACTGAGTTACAAACTAATGTTGATTGTTTTTGCAGATCTGTGTTTGGAGATGAGACTGAAAAAAAGCAAAGTACATTAAAAAAATTAATTGTTATTTAATAAATTTAAACAATAAATCAAATATAATTTCGCACCTTGATTATTAATCATCTTAATTGAATAATCCAACTGTGAGGTAATATTCCCAGCTAAAATTACGGAATTTTCTTTTGAACTGTCAAATTCAGTATTTTTGTAATCTTCCTGTAATATTGTCATCGAGAGATCTTCGTCATTTTCAGCACCATCTTCTCCAACCACCTCCTTCTGTTTGTTATCTGATTTATCTAGCAGTTCAGTGATTCTTATAACTGACAAATCTATAAAAAAGAAGGCATATTATACGATACAACAAACACATGTAAAACTATTAATAAATTGAAAAACATATTTTATCGAACATAAATCTTCTAAGGAAAAAGGTACCTATAAAATCGTCAAAAAAACATGGATCTGAAGTTTCGAACGTTCGACATGAACGAAAAATCGAAAAGTTTTAAATCGTTTCTGATCTATAACATCACTCCTACATCATCATAACATTAATAACTAACAATAATAGAACATAAACAATTATAATTTTCCATAAAACTGAATTTCAAAAAATTTTGAAAACCGTGCATTTTCAATAATTTTCGTCGATCGAGACATACGTTATTCAACTGATTTACTGACCCGTTGAAAAATTACTTTCACGATTAGATAATTCAGAACACTATTATTAACATTCGCTATGTCCTTAGGATGTAGCACGAGCCTTGAAATAATTCAATGGGAACTTTTTTCGATAAAAGAACTTGAAAGATATAATACAAATTTATTCGAAAATCTCGCACTTGAAAAAAATTTTCAAAAATCCACAAAACATTGAATGGTGAAAGTTATTTCGATCTTATACGACTTTTCATTCTCTTTGATACCTAATCAATGTACCTGTAAAGTTTTATTGCTCGGAAAGATGTGTGACAAATTTAAGAGAATTTTGAAACATGAAATTGTATTTTCTCTAGAGTCTCGCATTCAGAAAAATATTTAAAAATCGAGAAAAGTTGGTTTAGTAAAACTTATTTCGATCCAATACGACTTTCCACTCTCTTTGATACCTAATCAACGTCTCTGATTAGTTTCATTGCTCGGAAAGATCTCTGAAATATTTGAGAGGACTTTGAAACGTTTAATTGTAATTTTTCTTGAATCTCGCATTCAGAAAAATATTCAAAAATCGAGAAAAGTTCGTTTCGTACAACTTATTTTAAATTAATACGACATTTCACTCTCTTTCATACCTAATCAATGTCCCTGATTAGTTTTATTGATCGGAAAGATCTTTATTTGGGCAATAAAGTCATAAATAAAGTAATACGCGATGCATAATTAAAACATCACTAGGCGGTCCGCGCTGCTAAAAAACATTAACCTTAATACATGAATAATACGGTTCTAAGTCTAAATTCACTTATTTCTTAACCAGCCGACCGCCGGTTGCTCCTTCTCGCTTACACACAGCGAAAATTAACGAGATAATACGGACGCACGACTACCTGCATCTGCAAAATCGCGTTGTTTTATCGCGTATAAAGAACGTGTGAAGAAAACGGAATGTTCACACACATCAGATATCATTATCACAGAATGAAATTTAACGATAGACAAGGACAGAGATAGGAAACGTCGTAGTTGTGCGAGTGAAATCGCGTTATTTTATCGCGTATCGTGTCTCTCGCGCATGTTTGTATTATCTATCTCGCTCTCTATTCTATCTATCTTATCTATTTTTATTTCTTGAATTATTAGAACACTGTTTAGCTGCACAAGAAGTCATTCAGTCTTTTTTTATGTCAACTTTCTCTATTTCTGACATTTTGGTGCCTTATATTATAGAACCGTAGTGCTGGTATGTAACTGTATCTGCAGCGTCCGTACAGCTAACGCCCTCTACGGAAACTCCACAGTACTAATTAATACATATCTCTGTTAACTCAATAGTTATTTAGTTATCGAAAAATCTAGCGATGCCTTTGAGCGTGGAAAGTGGTTTTGATGATTGAAAATAGATGTCGCTGTTATTGCGCAGACACGGGTGTTGTTATATGACAAAGCAAAAATAACTTTGTTGTTATAGGTTATAAACATGTGTTTTTTTTTCACTAATAAAACAAATTAGCAGGAAAATCAATTATATTTTTCATTCCTTAAAATGCCTTCAACATTTTCTGCCGTTATCAACTAAGATTTCTCTTGTCCAAACACTTATTTTCCCGATTCTTGATTATATATATTATATAATATTGTATTATTACTATTATTTTTTATATTAATATTTATATTTGGCCAAGAACTTAGTAATGACTCTAAGTTATATTTACCTTCATTTAAAAAAAAAATGTCTTTGGCCTTATGAACTACTATATACTATATACTCTTTGGTCTTGACCTTAGGTCAGACTAAATTTGTTTATTGAACTGTCAAAATATACGTGGCGCGATTAGTTAAAATAGTCTCAATCATAGACTAATATATAATACTGGAGATAGGCTGGCAACTGACGTTTTCAGATTTAGTTACCGTTCAGCGCCCTCTGAACGCCAAGCAATGAACTAAATGAAATATATATATATATATATATATATATATATATACGTAGTTGCGTATATGACAATATATATAGGTACTTACGTATGAATTGCTGTTTTATTTATAGATAATATTTTATCTATAAATAAAACCGCAATTCATACGTAAGTACCTATACATATTATTTATATTTCGTTTTAGATACTTAAACAGTGTTTTGAAGTAAGCATATTTTTAGGGATGTTTTTAGACACACAAGTTTAAGTATCTTTGGGTATTCGGGTAAAGGTAATGAGATAAATAATACAAAAATATATAATTCAATGAATTTATTAATTTTACATTAATTTCGACGCCTTTGTGCCTCTCGTTTTGCACCCTTTGTTTTATTATAATGTTCTCGAGCCCGTAGAAAAATGGAGACATTTTCACCACTATCATTACATAAATTATAATAGCTCTTGCCATTGAGTATATCGCTGACTTCTTTGCACCAAGTAATTACGAAGAACACAACACTTTTATGGACTAAATATTTCTTTAAATTTTCTTTATGTTTTTCACATTTCATAAAATTTAATTCAATGTGGACTGATATAATCAGCATTATATATTTAACAATGTTTTCTACATGTGCATATTTATTTAAAATATTCCATGTTATGTGTTCTACTTGTGCAAAAAAGTCAAACAATGACCGGGTAGGATAGCATAACCATCTTTTGCCACAATATTCTTTTTTTATTATATAATTGTGGAAATCTTCATTATTTGATGATGTTAAATTATTTTGACATGTTTTACATTTTTTAAATATAAACTTTTTTGCTTTAGTTGCTATCCACCCACTACAATAAGCTATGGCCGCGCATTTCTCTACATGAACTCGAGAACGGCTTTCTAGAATTAGTTGTGTATTTATTAAATCAATATTTAAATGTTCATCAATAATTTCCATTATGTCATTAGCGTCCTCCACATTACAATTTTGGTATATTAAAGATTTTAATGACTTTAAACATATACTGTCATCTTTTTCACAATTTCCCTGTATGGAGTGTGGGGATGTTATATTATTTATTAATAATGTTTTAAATGCGGATTCAAAAGCCGCTGAGTTGGGCATTATATTATTATAGCCATGAGCTCTTATTGCCCCGAAAAAGTTTTCCAAAGGGTCTTGGTTTAAATTACGTAATAATAATGAATTTACTCCTTCTGCCCTTAACTTATTTGTTATTAATTTAAAACCTTCTATAGTTTTTACCCAACTGGTTACAGATGGTACAGTTACCTCTTTGCCATTGTTATTTATATACTTCATTGACCTTACAATGGGTAATGTTTTATTCCAAAATTTTAAATGGGGTGAGTTTGGTGTGACAGCAGATCTGTATATTTTCCCTTCTTCTTTATGATAATTTGCATTGACGGAGTCAAACAGGTTGTCGAACAGCATTATTAAATGTGCAGTGTCCACACTTTCCTTTGGTAAGCACCCACTTTCTAGAAATGAAAATTTCATGTTAAATATATATAAGTATTTAATTATTGTATTTGCTTTTTTTTATTGGGGCATCCTGAACTACTGGAGAATGTTTAGTGGCATGTCACACCAAGTGTACATTATGTGTCTCATAAAACATGCATCATACAAATCATTTTTCGCCTACTGATATTGATTCTAATAATTCATTACTGTCCCACTGCTAGGCACAGGCCTCTCAGAAGTAGAAGGATTAAGCCTTAGTCCACCATGCTGGCCTGGTGTTGGTTAGCGGACTACACACAAATTGAGAACTTTATGAGGCCCTCTCAGGTGTGGAGGTTTCCTCTCGATGTTTTCCAGCACTGTTAACGCAAGTAATCAATAATCAAATTGTTCCACACATAACCTGCATGAAAAGCAAGTGTTTGACCGCTGGGCTATAATGCCATTTTGTTTTTATAAAGAAAAAGTAGGTACTAAATCATAGTTTCTTTTATTAATATATTTACGGATTTTCCCAATTTTCCCATAAATAACAATTCTAAATTATTATTTCCTTTATTAATTTAAATAATCTTATTACTACATTTTTAAATATAGGAATAATAGGAATATACATTTATGGGTCCACCGGCATATTATTATTATTAAGAGTCTCCATCAATTTGGCGGTCTAAAAAACAGAAAATAGGTACTTTTTATTATATAAATAGGTGACGTATGACTGCAATGATGATACATGATGTATAACCAGATATCTTAATACTTTGACTGTCCAGTTTGAAGACACAATAGTAAGACAATAGCAATGAATTACATGGAATGCACTGGACAGGCAAAGGGTTAAAGTTGTTGGAATTTTTGCAATGAAAAAGTAGCATTTTCTGTTTTTAAACTACAAAATTGATAGGTACTGTAAGTTAAGTGAGACATACCTGCCAGACATCCAAGTGTCACACCAACAGATGTGCTGAACACTTGTGTACAATACTTAACCCTCATTTTGGGTATCATTGAGGGCACCACATGTTGAGCTGTCAGTTTGTGAGCCAACTTTACACCCCAGAATGAAGGGCTTCTTTTAAAAAGATCTTCTATATGACACCATTTAGCCACACGTACCTTGCCATCCATGACATATTTTAAATTTTTATTTAGTAAATTGTTACGTACACCCTTCATTAGATGAGGTGGATCATAAATAGGCATAATTTTGACACTGCCCACTTCAAAAAATCCACCTTCATAATCCTCATCATTTCTTAAATAATTCCCTTTTGTTTCTTCCATCAACTGATTTAATGCAGCGATGTTTGTGGCTCCTTGGTCACACACTGTAGCTACAACTTTAAGACCTGTGTTTTGGACTTTTTCTATTATATTTTTTAATTGATATTTCAGATCTACCGACTTTGTTGTGCCTGAGCAAAAACTATAGGCTATTGGCTGCTTATATTTTTTTACTATGCCTCTCACCATAAATACAAGCACATGATCAGCGAATATTGGTTGTCTTTTGCTGCCATTGTCAACAAAACCATTTATTTTGTCGTGTGCCCTATCGTAACTTAAATTAGTAGCAATTGACATTTCATCAAACAGTATGCAACAAAATTTATGTTTGTCTGGCATTTCCGACACTTTTTTCTTTAAGTGTTCAAATATTTTTTCGTTAATGCCAGGCTTTAAATCCACTTTCTGTAAAATATTTTGAAGTGTTCTTCGGCTTGGCAAAACACAAAGCTGGCTTAGCAAGCGGTATGCTTTTGGTGATGGTTTATATAACGAAAGTGCTAAAATTTTTTCATTAAGAGTAAAACGCCTTCCTCTAGGTTTTTTACCAGTTCCCTTTACTTGCATATAAAATAAAGATTTAGCTGCTGATGACATCTTTTTGGTCACAATTTCGAAAGCATTTGTTTTCCTTATTTTCTTTGCTAGCAGATATCTTTTGCGAAAGTTCTGTTTGGTTTTAAGAACTTGACGAAGGGTTTGCTCTAATCTTTTAACCTTATTTTCAAAATGCTTTCGTCTCAAAAAGGGTACTGAAAATATAAAAATATAGTTTTATTTGTGCCGAATGTGTTTATGGAAGTAACATTGAAAAGTGAATGGGTTGGCTTCAAGACGGCTTCGGCTTTTAAATTTACAAGTTTAAATCGGCTTTATTATGGTAGACTATAAATAAACTTTAAAGGGTTTGTATTTGTAGACAGACTTTGATCAGTTATCTTACGGCTTAAGATCATAAAGCAATAGCTAACATACCTGAACTAGAAGGCTTGAAGTATTCAATAGTTCTAGTTGTTATGGGTTTTGTTACATCACAATGCAATATAGCTCCTTGAGATATAGATGGTGGGCTTGGTGCTGAGAAGCAAAGAGAATAAATTTAGTGTTTTACAATATTTCAAAAATATAATATTCTAGTGTATCCTTTTAGTTTGTAGAATAATTGATAGTCTAAAATCCCACTGTTGATTTCTGCAAGTATTTGTTTTTTAATGAAACTCAATTCAAATGAATGTTTAATGATTATGACCTACATTACTCCCAGGTTGCCTAACAAAAATATGTCCCACATTAAATATATTGTAATTAAAACAAATTGCAAAAACATATATTGTTTTCGGTTAATTCATTTAATTCATTAGTTTCACACAGGTTATAAATGAATGTACAATAAATATATGTTTTATTGTACATTCATTTATAACCTGTGTGAAACTAATGCAGTTGCTAGTATTAAAAAAAACTGATTTACCTGATACATCTGCAGAGGGTAAAAGCAAAGATGGAACAGCCAATTTACAAAGCCTGTTTTTTGGGTAAAGAAACTCTTTCTGAAAGTGCTGACGACAGATTCTATGAGTTTTGCGGATAGTGGTGTTGTCCAGACTCGCAATAGCACCTCCAATAATCTTTACCCAATTATGAAACCTTTCTGCATCTTTCTCAGGACATGGAAAGTAATGTAGAGGTACACCTGAAAATAAAATAAAGTGACTATAATGGGCCTGACTGAAATGTGATTTTTAATCTTTCTAAGTTACTCTACATTATTTTACAATATTAATAGCAATGTTATAAAAGACAATTTCAAGAACTCAAAAGCCCGGCTAAGGCCGGCCACATACATACGGAATTTCGTTTCAATATTCCGCTTCGAGATTACAAACGCAGCAAGTCCATATAAAATCTATGACCCGTCACATACCATGAAGTTATAGATAAAGATGGAGGCCACACTTGGAACAACAGCTTGAGTCAAATACCTACGTATCTTTATCTCACTCTCTGTGGTCTGACTTCTCTTTTTAGTGTGGAACACAATATTGCTATGTTTTTATTTGAATCTCCCGGTAAATTTTTAGAAATAATTTCCACACTAACTAAATCAGCAGTTAAGCTTTGTAAAATAATGTACCAACAAATAAATAGTTGATCTACGATTAGTTACATTAAAAATTCCAAAACTAAAGGTCTCATATGCATTATTGGGTTCATGAATCAGTGTATTACAATCCCATTTCCTAAGGATTCGGTAATATGGCAACATTAGCCCTATAAGTCAACATAAATTAGACAAATATGGCAGTTGTTTACTTAGCAGTTCACAGCGTCGTTTGAGATATTTAAAGTTAATTATTGTTATAATTCAAGAAATGGTGCAAACTTGTGTAGTACGTGGTTGCGACAGTAGTTGGTGTCCAGGAGGTGATATAAGATTTCACACGTAAGTGTTTAAATAGTGACTTCTGACATTGAATACTTGTAAATATACTTTTTGTATTTTCACTTAATTTTTTGCTGAAACGTTTTATCAGTGTTTTAAACATATTAGTAAATTATAACTTTGTCAAAATCAAATAGTTTTACATTGAAATGAATTAAGTTTGAACAATTTTATTCTTTTTGTTTAAAACAAATCGCACTGAAGTAGTGTGACCATATTGATGATGTATCTGAGACTTTCCGTGTGACCTTAACTAATTATATGTACATGTTTCTTATAATGTTACCGGAAATGCATGAAATTTAGGAATTATGTACACTTCCTATATATTCTATATAATGACGGATTTCATAATATTAAATTAAAAATGAGTAACATGATATATTCTTTTGGTAGACAATTTATTTTTATTTAGTTTTTGTTTCTCATTATTCTGATACTTTAATAACGCTTATAATAATTATGTATTTAGAAATGTAGTAGTTTAGATGTATGATATAAAGCAACATTTTATGTTATTTGCAGACAATAAGTGCATTACATGAAGAGTCTATTGTGCAAATAGCTGCTCTGGCTGTACCAAGCACTAGTTCTGACATTTATGAAAGTAAAGTTCTGCACTTAAGGAAACAGAAGTGAAATGTACTGGCTGTAATATTGAAGACCAAACTAGTAAAAAACAATGTCGAAAAATTCTTGAAAATTTATGCAATCTTAACAAAGTACCTGTAAGTGTCCTTTTCCTTTATTACTAAATACATACCTTTTATTTGTATTTATTATGACTTTAATATTACATTACATAATGTATTATATAGCTTAAAACACATACATATTTAAACTCTTTAGTGCCAATCGCAGTGTGGTAACTACTACGACACTAAGCATAAGGCTTCTTGTTTGATGCTTCATTTATGCGTGCTCATGAAGGCGCGCTCCGGTGTATTATATGTTACCTATTAAGTGATGTAAATTTGTACTGACATTATGATGTAGAAGAGTTATTTGTTTCTTTTTTTTGTTAGAGTTCTCTAATCTCTGGAACTATACCAGTCTGATTTGAAAACATTTTTTTGCATTTTTAAAACCAATTCTTCAGGAAGTCTATCTAACATCACGCTACGACCCTGTACCCCTACGACGATGTACGATGCTAAAAATACTGATTTCATAAAGTTTTCTTGTTTTCTTAGGTCAGCAGTGAATACGACGACGTGCAAGTGAAAATAAAGTGTACTAAAGAAGAAATACTTGAGACGAAAACTAAGATTCTTAAGCAAAAAGTGGCGCGCCAAACTAAAAAATTCAGGATAGGTCTTCTTTAATGGACACTATTAAAAAGTATACGGGTCAGTCAGAAATTGAAAATATTATTCAAGGGCGCTTTGCTCATATCTGTAAGGACTTCAAAAAGCCACAGAGTAATCCACATGGTGTGAAAAATTCAATAAATAATATTAATATGGAAAGTGTTTTTATTTATTTTTTTAAGGTTTTTAACAAACCATGTAGTGGTGGTGTGAGAATATCCACTACCCCATATCGTTCCGAGGGTGTTGTAAGAGGTGTCAGAGGGAAAATGAAACAGGAGGTGGGCAGCGGCATTTTCCTGATAACAACTCAAAATAATAATATATTATCGTTCCTATTATAGTACATGTTACTAGAAATCTATGAAATCCGTTATTATATAGAATTCCTAGGAATTGTAGATAATTCTTAAAATGAACTGGATGTGTGGAATATAGTATTATACACATTTCAGCTCAGAGCAGCCTGACTCGGATGGGTTAGGTCAGAAGGCTAAGGCAGGAGCTCCGCTACGCTGCTTTAGTCCTCGTGATATTTTTTTTAAATAATTGTCCAGAAATAGATTTAGTCTGTCTGAACAATAAATCAGGTATATTTTGCCCAATTCATTGATCACCCGGGGTTATAATAAATTTTAATTTTATATTTCGTTGGTACCGTTTAGGAATTGTATACAATAACCAGAAAATACATTATTGAAATGGTAGTTATAAAATATTCTCTGATATATTTATTTTCCACATTTTTTAAATAGGCTCTGCATTATATGGGTTGTGACGGAAATGCGTGGTCATATTTTAATACCGTTTCTGCCCATGGAAATGAAAACCTTTCTTCATAAAACTAGTCAATTCTCAAAAAAAATTGTACAAAAATATATAATCTATATAGACTAGGTCTTAGTAGTAAACAGAGATATAGATATTTATAAATAAAACACTTAATGTAACTCAACTACTTATAGCGATATCCTGGGAAAAATAAAATAAAGGTTACCTACTTAGAAAGGGAGGGCCTGCCCACAGAGAGCGAGATAGTAATACATAGGTTAAGCTTCAAGTAGGTATTCGGAGTGTGGTCTCCATCTTTATCTATAACTTCATGTCACATACGTACGGTAGTTTTCCGTTCGAAAAACAGCAAAATGGAAATCCTTATGTATGTGGCCGACCCGTTCAGGATTCTGAAACGGAATTCCGTATGTACGTGGCCAGCCTAAAGGGATGTAGGTAGATGCAGATGTATAGACCCACATTTTATGTGAGAGATTTTATTATAATTACATATGTATCATCTGTTATCAAGGATGATGTTTTGTACCATAGGGACAATCAACTAAATTATTAATTTTCATTACTGTGCAGAATTTAAAGAAGAAATCCTACACTCTGTTGGTCTAGGTTATTTACTAAAGATAAACAATCTTAATAATATAATTATGTCTTTTCACTCCACCTTGCATTTCAAAAATCTAAGAACTTACAAATGAAATATATATAAACCTTCTTGTGAACTCTATGTAATAGTTAGGTCAGTGGGTTGTCTTAGATTAATTAGTAAGTTTGGAGATTTTTTCAATCTAAGTCAAATCATATTTATTTATGTAGAACATATCAATAGGCACTTTTGAAAGTCGAGACTTTAGCTGCATGTTCGAAAATGTAGATTCTGATGGAGAAAAACATACAAGAAACTCAACTTTTAAATGCAAATTGAGAAAAAAGACGTCAAGATTGTTTACCAGTTTACCATGTTTTAGTCCTTGTTCTGAGGTTTACTATGAGTTAACTGAGCCGACAGACTAGGGCCCGTATTTTAGAACGACACTCAGCGGCAATCTCCACTTCAGCACATGTTAGTGACTTATTTGTATGAAATGATAGACTCAAATCATATTCAAGTAAAGCTGTGTTTGAGAGTCATTCTAGAATAAGAACCTACAGGTAGCATTTTTAGAAATTTTGACTTACTGAATAAATAGAAATTTCGTTTTTTACTACTTTTTTTATAGGTTAAGGGTGACAAACGAGAACACAGTCCACCTGATGGTAAGTGGTTGCTGTGGCCCATAGACATCTACATTTATCCTCGATTATGAATCAAAATGCAGATGTGTTATCACCTCTGATGACTAAGATGGAATGCCTCGTTTGCAGTAAAAAGGGTCTCCGGTTCTCTTCACTCATCATACGAAACACAGCAGCATTAAGCTGCTATTTTACGATGGTATTCTGTGAGAGCGTGGTCCTTCCCTGGTCGAGCCGACCCATTCGTGTTACATCCCAGCCGCCAAATTTCACGAACGCACATCGCGGCAGAACTCCCGATACCATCTACACCATCTGGATGATTGGCGGTCCACCACTGTGCGATTTAGAAAATGTTTTCTTCCTCGCACAACTTCCTTGTGGAATAGTTTACCACCAGCGATTTTTCCGGACCGATACAACTAAGGGACCTTCAAGAAAAGAGCCTACTCCTTTTTAAAAGGCCGGCAACGCATCTGCAATTCCTCTGGTGTTGCGGTTGTTCATGGGCGGCGGTAGTCACTTACCATCAGGTGAGCCGCATGCTCGTTTGCCCCCTCTATTATAAAAAAAAAAAACTATACCAGAAATATGGCTGCAACATGACTACCACGTATAAATTTTTTTTTAATTGTTAAAAACAGATTAACCAGTTTAATATAAATATTAGGCCGACAATATGGTGTATTAAGCACGCGGAATATAAGCCAGCGTAGAATACACATATTTGTTTAAAAGACTATTGAGGTTATGAAAGTTCAGAATATAAAAATACACTTTACTCACCATCTTCTGCTACTACTTGGCACCCAGGAACACAGCAGATATTTCGAGGCATTGTGTAAAATGTAAAATAACACTACACTGAGATATATGGTCCAAACTCCCTACGGAGGGCCTATCAACATGTATGTCCAAAACACTTTCACAAAGTACAGTCTATGCTGGAATTTCGGTATTTCTGGAATATACGGAGGAACTGAAGCTCGACTCAACGTAGTAACACAAAAAACACCAAAAATTACAAGAAATGTGCGCACGAGTATGCAAACACACCAGTGGAAAATTTCTTGTGACGTAGTGACGTTTAGTTTCAGTGTTGCTAACATTTAGTGTCGGTAAACTACTCTAAAGATTTTAAGATCGTAACTGTAATAAATACTATATAAATTATACTATCACTAGTAGTACAAAAAATTATAAAATAATTTTAAAATAAATTATACTAAGTTGTTAAATCATTTATTTTTGTGTACCTGGACTAATAACAGCAAAATAGCAAAATCATTAATTATTATAAAGTACTAAATAGTCCAAGTAAAAAAGTGTGGTAACACTGCAATAAAAAGTTCCAAGTTTGCGGGATAGATGGCGCTTATCATAATTAAGAAAAAATGTTTTAAGTTACCAGGGCATGGTCTCAATCGCTCGATGGTTTGGCAAAGTTATATTTTAGCTCAGATTTACTTTATTGTCATAAAATTCTAAGTAAACCCTTTGGGGCCAATGAACCAATATTTTAATGGATTGTTTTACATTAACATGGCCACATAGACCCAATAATTTTGAAAGGTATACAAAATTTGCACTTTGTCACACCACTTTGAAACAATATTTGCATTTATCCTGTTATTTTAATGAAAAAAAGTCTATGTAAGACTGTTAAAATGTTTCTAATCAATTGAATTTTTGTAATCATTCAGAGTGGCTTTAGATAGATTTTACAATCCATATAGAAACTGGAACCTCATTTTGCAAGTTGTAAGGTATAAACATTTTAGACAAAGAAGGATAAGAAAGATTGTATTCTCTAATCCCTACAAAAATATGTGCACATTTTGTAATAAAATTTGTAATTTTGCAGGTTTCAGATACCTTTCCCATTAAACATAAGAAAAAATATTGCTTGGCCAATTTTTAATAATAAACAAAAATTAAAACGTACCTAATGAAGCATCATCCTGAAATTTATCTGGAATTTGCTTTTCCTCTCCATGGCCTCCCCAGTTTTCACATAAATTCAAATATGAGTAAGCATTGAATTTGACATCTGTTCTTTTAGCATAATTTTTGGAGTTTTTAGATTTTGATGTCACTGCTAATCTTTCTCTGCATACTTCAGAAAGTGACTTGATGAGGTTTGAGTGGTGTATGATAAATTTGTCTACTCGTATTGATAAATTCTGAATTTTTAATGCGTTACTATCAATCTCATCTTTTAAAAGTGAATAATATTTTGACTTGAGGTCAAGCTTTTCCACATGTTTTCTTACATCATATTCACTTTTATGATGCATAAAGAAAAATGGTAAGAAAGAAGTACATTTTTGAATAACACACTGAATTCTTCATTACAATAAGAATTAGGTAAATACTGAAAATCATCAACTGTTGATTCTGATTCACATATCACTAGACTGTTTATCAAATCTTCCATTTTTGTACAACTGATTTTGGTTAACATTGAGTCAATTTCAGAGTCATAACGAGAAGTATTGCACCCACATAACTTGAAAATGTCGTCAACTAATGCATTATCTTTTATCATGTTAAATAAAGACTGAATTGAATTTGTCACTTCTTGATTTTTTAATGGAGTACTTGATACAACAAATGTTTTTTTTATTATCACCCATAGCTCCTCAATGTTTGTAGTTATTAGCATTAGAATAAAAACTTTTGAGTAGAGTTCTCCAATTAATGCATGGTCATTTTCAAAATATTTTAAAATGTATGTTATAACTGGTAGAAAATTAGCTCTTATGTGACAAGCTGGTAGATCACTATTCACTTTCACATGATTAATGATTTCATCAATATATTTCTCAATGCTGTAGTTACTATTCAGTGCACTTATTGCTCCCTCAATGAAAGCAACGTTAGGCGGCACGATTAATTCACTTGGAGGATCAAAGCCTGTCTTGAACCATTCGCATAAAATGTAATTTATGAAATTATTGCTTCTCTGCTCTGTTATTACTTGGTAAAGGGGTGTTATGCAGGAGTCATCAATAAGTCCAACTATTGATACTTGGAGAATGCCACTACTTTTGTAGAATTGCGTTTCAAAGGGTTGTATGTCAATCAATTCTGTACAAATCACTTGTATTGCTTCACATTCATTTTTATATATTGTTGATACTTGTTCAGGCCAAAAATATATGACATGGAAAGGACTTAAGGATATTTCATGTATCATTGCATAAAACTCGACATTTCCTTTGAGAGAGTGCAAGGCTCCCATATCATCATAATCACAATCACAATTAATTATTACTCCATTTGACTGTCCATTTGACTGTTTATTTTCTTCTTCGATTTGTTCTGTTTCATTACTCATTTTAATTTTCTTCGTTGGATTTGCCACGGTACAGAAGGGTTTTAAAAGTTCCAACATCTTTTTATCCGTTTTAAGTTTTAATCTTAATTTTAAATATAAATTGTGGTGACTCGTTTCACCATACGGCTTCAATAAATCGAACGCCTTTTCCCAACCGTCATTTTTTTCTTTTAACACTTGTTCATTTTCATCTAAAATTTTAATCTCATTACTTGTTAACACTTCTTCTATTTTCTCCATAGAAACTGCAGCTTTTCTTCCGCATTTTTTTTTCTCCACTATTTCACTCATGGTTATATAATATATGCACTAAGTAAACTTCGATTGTTCGCGAATCGAATGTTCAAACGTGTATGAGCATGCAAGAGGTTCCGGTATTCCCCCAGACACGATCGGCCGGTATACTTTTAGCAGAAGTTAGTGAGCAGCTTTTGGCGCGCCAGTAATTTTGACCGAATTGCGTTCCCGGTATCGAAACCTTATTTATACGTTGCGCATCATATCTACAGTTTTTTTTGTTTCATTTTATTTTTAAAATAGTATAAAATTTTACGTAGTGTGCCTAAAAATGCCTCGAAAAGCTAGTGTTTCTTATGCTAAAATTTATAAGGTTTTGAAGGGTATGACAGTATTTAAGAGGGATGGAACTTTGCTACAGCCAGTATGGACGGATGCTTGTCAAAAATTGGATAATAAAATATTGCCTAAGAATTTGTATATGAAAGTATTCAAAAACTACGGCAACTTACAACAGAGACTTAAAAAGTATGCGATAAAAAAAAAACAAATTAATCCAAAATTAAAAACAAGTGCAAGCGCAATTGAGTCTGCAAGTGAATCATCTGAAACAGACGATAGTGATACATCAGAACATACAGCTTCCAACTCTGATAGTGAATACAATGAAAGTGATTCTGATAAATTTTCCGACTCTGATACCGAAAATTCATTAGAAGTAATAAAAGATGCAGACGGCAAATTCATATGTCATATGAGAAAAGAAAAAAATATGAATCCATTAAACTGTGAACCGTTAAATTTTACTATACATATAGACAAAGATGTCTGGTTGAAGATAAAACCTATCAATCCTAAAAAATTACCTGCTTCAAAATGGACTCCTAAGATATTTCGGGCTATCTGTGAATATGATAAAAGACTTATCTGTCCGTACAGTTTCAAAGTAGGCACTGTTTATTCGTTATATAATAGTCACAAGTACTTTGATTTTTACGGCAGATGCAAAGATAAAAAGTGCAATACATATTTTTACGGAGTATGCAACGAAAAGCCAAAGGATGAAGATGAAAAAATCGCAATTCACATTTGCACATTCGATACTCGAAATGTAAAACATGGTAATGCAAAAAGATTTGTAATTGGAGATGAAAGAAA